AAATGTGTCTGTAGTCTTCAGGGTTCCAGCAGTTATTTTCTTTATTAATGCAGCTGTGAAGTTCTTTTTTGATAAATAGTCAAGTCTGTGAACTGTCATGACTTTTATCAAATGTCTTGTTAATTTTCTTTTCTCTTTGTTATCGGAAATGTAAAATAATGTCAGAAATGTAACAAATACTTTGCATCTCAGTAAAAAGGAGGATAACATACACTCAGCTGCACTTTATTAGGTACACCTTGCTAGTACCAGGTTGGACCCCTTTTGCCTTCAGAACTTCCATAATTCTCTGTGGTATAGATTCATCAAGGTGCTGGAAACATTCCTCAGATATTTTGCTCCATATTGACATGATAGCATCACACAGTTGCTGCAGATTTGTTGGCTGCACATCCATGATGTGAATCTCCCGTTCCACCACATCCCAAAGGTGCTCTATTGGATGGAGATCTGGTGACTGTGGAGGCCACTGGAGTACAGTGAACTCATTGTCATGTTCAAGAAACCAGTTTGAGATGATTTGAGCTTTGTGACATGGTGCGTTATCCTGCTGGAAGTAGCCATCAGAAGATGGGTACACTGTGGTCATAAAGGGATGGACACGGTCAGCAACAATACTCAGGTAGGCTGTGGTGTTTAAACCATGCTCAGTTGGTACTAAGGGGCCCAAAGTGTGCCAAGAAAATATCCCACACACCATTACACCACCATCAGCCTGAACCGTTGATACAAGGCAGGATGGATCCATGCTTTCATATTGTTTACACCAAATTCTGACCCTACCATCTGAATGTAGCAGCAGAAATCCAGACTCATCAGATCAGGCAGTGTTTTTCCAAGTGTGGCACCTGGTGTGGTCTTCTGCTGCTGTGGCCCATCTGCTTCAAGGTCGGACGTGTTGTTGGTTCAGAGATGGTCTTCTGCAGACCTTGGTTGTAACCAGTGGTAATTCGAGTTATTGTTGCCTTTCTATCATCTTGAACCAGTCTGGCCATTCTCCTCTGACCTCTGGCATCAACAAGGCATTTTCACCCAGAGAACTGCTGCTCACTGGATATTTTCTCTTCTTCGGACCATCCTCTGTAAACCCTAGAGATGGTTGTGTGTGAAAATCCCAGTAGATCAGCAGTTTCTGACAGACCAGCCCGTCTGGCACCAACAACTATGCCACATTCAAAGTCACTTAAATCACCTTTCTTCCCCATTCTGATGCTCAGTGTGAACTTTAGCAGGTCATCTTGACCATGTCTACATGCCTGAATGCATTGAGAAATAATAGCCCAAAAATGGACAAACTGAACTGGTGTTTCAACTACATGTTATGTTGCTTTTAAGCAAAGTAACTAAAAACTGTCATGTTTACTTAATTCCAGTGACTTATGGTGCTGATTAACATCTCAAGCAGGTAATTAGTATTCTGTTTTACATTTCAAAGTCTCTTTCATAACCTTGGGTGCTGGTTTACTCACTGGTTTTTGCTTTATCAGTCGGTCTCTGTGGGTAGATAAGACATTGACACCTGTGTCAGTGTTGAACATTTTACTTTTCTCACAGAGATCTCAAGGCTGTTGAATATTAACACACACAGATTCACACACTCCTAAGAACAACCAGATGACCATTGAATCCCATTCAGGGTGCTTTCACAAGGCCAGGGGCCTTTCCCAAGCGCTTTCAACTACATCCAACCTAAACCTGTTCCCACCGTTTTGTAAGCCCAGAGTATACACAGGCTTAGCTCCAGGTTCTCGCTTCTCCTAACAGTGGTTGGTCGTCACACACATGGGAGGTATGTTGAAATGATTCCTGTGTTTGATCCATGGAGGTCGTGGTGGCTTTGAGAGCATTCCTCCTCTCTCCTCTGTATACTTACCCACCAGTATCTGTAATCCAGGCCTGAGCCTGGGGGCCAGGGAAGAGGGACCCCTCACTGATCCCCAAGGTGTGTTATGGTTCTGGGGGAGAATGTGCTGTGTCTCAGGTCTGGTCAAGATCAGGTTGCTGCTTTCCAAAGGCATATGTTGGCTTTGGATTGAGCTTTTGGATTGCCGATGGGGCCACATGTCCTCAGGAACTCACTCTGTTGACGTTCTTTATTTTTTGCTTATCAGTAACGAACAAAGGAAGTGAACAATGGAGAAAATTGATAATTTGTCTATTTGCCTTACCTCTAACCAGTAACACGTGCACATGCAGAAAGTATTATGGGCGCTGCTGACCTATCATAAATGATATCAAGGAAAACGCCCTCATTACTCATCATTCACATTGTGTTGTGTGCAGCAAAGTGTTTCATTAATCTCAAGTTTTTATCATAATGCAAAGATATTTGACTGACACCCATATAAAGATAAGTATCTGCAAATTCTGATGCCATGGAAAACCAGCTTTGCTGCCACTAATACACAAGGAACTTAATATGCTGGTTGGCTGTTTGTCAGCTCTGAAAGTAAATTAGGTCCTTATTTTTCCCCTGACACCAGTTTGCCAACCAGTGTAGGTGGTTTCGAGATGTGGTATACTGTTTGACGCTGGTGCCAAATGTAGAGCTGAAAGGATTAATCAACAGCAGCCCAAACTGCAGCCTCCAAAATGATCATAAAGTTGAATTACCACCTCTATTTAATAGTTTCAACAAATACTGAACATCATAGCCTTCATGTAGGTAGGCATTTACTGCAGGGCTGTATTAGTTTAAGCTAGATGTACCTAATAAAGAGACAACTGAGTGTATATTCCAGTATATGTATATCTTCTCATATTAATATTCAATTGTAGATATACAGTATTAAAAAACATTTGAATTGTCTTGGTGAAACTACATATGATAATATCTTTAATAGTTGCAAGTGAAAGATGCAGCACTTTAATTCTTCAACCACAAAATCTCATCTCAAAATTTAGTTTCTACAAAACTAATTTAAAAGCATGTGATCATATGACTGAGAGTCAGTAGCTAAGCCTTTCACCATAATTACATTATCGACTTATCAAGGTCAACAAAAATGATCGAGGTCATGTCTATATATCAGATGATATTGCCCCTGTGTTTACCTGCAATGTCATTAAAATGTTAAACAACATGATGCCAGAATAAACAGCAGGATTTTCTCTACCAGTATAAGATCTGGGCACAGTGCGTAAGCATTTTTTTCCGCAGCGCCAAAGCTGAATGAACAGGAAAAAAAGTTTTATTTATTTAGGATATATTATTAATAATATATATTTAATTCACAGTACAATTTCAATGTCTGAACATTCTTATACATTAAAGTTTATTGGTCTTTGAAATGCTGTACTTGCATTATTATGCTCTCATATTATCATTTTATCAGTGGCATAAAATGGTCTTAAAATGACAATAATATTCTTCATCGCAACGATTTCCTTGACAATGTATCGTCCACCGGAAGTAGGTATTATGACAGGCCTGTCACTAGCAAAGAATAATTTATAAGCATCCTGTGTTGTATGATATGATGATAAAGATGGCTGTTGTATCGTTACTGTGACTGTGGTTTATGTAGACACATTTTTATTTTACTCCTGTTTCTCTGCACTTATACAGTATCCCCTCCAGTGTAATGATTAAATAACTTGCAAAACACATAGAACAAATATATATTACATATTTTTCATTCCTTTGCTATTGATATTGTAAGAGTGCTCACAACAACAATGCCTTTACTGAAGGTGTTGATTTGTTGGTCAGTTTATCATGACCCTGCTGCTGTGGGAGTGTGATCTCCTCGGAGAGGACATAGAGAGTCAATCCGCCCCACACAGACACAGTGACGAGGCTAACTATTAGCATGTCACAGCTAATGCTGTATAACAGGTTTAACAGAGTCGAGCTGTTTCAGTGTGAGTGTGAGTTTGATGGGACTGTTTGATGGCTTGTGTCGGATGTTAGCCGCTGGCGCTGTGTTAGCCCATGCTAACCGGGTTAAACTGACTGTTCTGTGTAATGGCAGCAACAGAAAGTTTGCTGATTCTTTTCACCAGTGAAGAGAATTGGTATCCAGTGAGCGGGGGAGTATCTCTCATATAGGTGTCCACCTCTGCCTCTGGGTTATTAGGCTTACCCTAGCAGCTCCGTATGACTTCAGTCAGGGTAGCAGCAGACTGCACTGTCTCATCATGTACCCCTATAGCATCAGGATATTATACTTAATATATTTTCAATTGTGTAAGTGATAGTAACAGATCAAAACTCTTATTGTTGGTTAATGGTTGAACAGTTAGCATCCCTTCTGCCAACATAAAAATTATGAATACACACTGATTTCATCCACTTTCCAGCGTGTGTTTTCTTATAGTTGTACTCCTGATATAAAAGTAATTGGTTTTGATTTGGCCTCATGCTAATAATCTCCAGACTCCGGCTCTCGGTTGCAGACACAGAGAGAAGGAAAACAAAAGGCCTCAGTTGATTGTTTTGAGTGGGACTCTCCCGGATCCCCCCGTCTCACCACCGTGCTTTTAGGCAAGGTTTATTTTCCTGACCCCAGTCACTTTTACAAAGTCTTTCTACCCTCACATTTGATTCTCCCACATACACATTCTGCAAAGTTGTTTACCCAGAGTATTAGCTGACCTCCCTGCTCCTTACCCAAGCACCTCAGCAGGAAGCAACATTACCTCCCCGCCACTGGCCCTCTGCCACAGCATTGTGATGGTGAAACCTTGGTGTAAATCTACACTCATGTAAAAACACAATGCGATTAAGATCAAGGACATCGGCTAACACTGTAAACACATCAGCCCGCGAGAGCACCTACTTTTTTAGCAAAGCACGCTTTCAAATGTTTTTTCCAGCATTCTTACTTAAATAGCATCAACATCGTTAATATGTATACATGAACTGATTTACATCCTGAATCAGCAGCCTTCTTAATTATCTACAGATTTCTGACTCCACCCAGTTATTTATAGACATCTTAGTCAGTCTTTCTTTGTGTATTTGAGATTTAGGGTGTGTGTGTGTTAATATCCCTCAGGTGTTCCAGGACCTGGGTGTGTCGGTGCTGTCCGGAGCCTCTGAGGGCTACAATGTGTGTCTGTTTGCTTACGGCCAAACGGGATCTGGGAAGACATACACCATGATGGGGACACCGGTGAGGACAGTACTGGAATCACTGCATGGCGTCATATACATACTCACCAGGCACATTTTAGGCAATGCAACTGTTACACAAAGTATAAACCCAACGCATGTTGCACTGCAAATAGGCAAAAACACTTGTGTGACCCTATTCTACATGGCAACTGTCAAAATGATGCCACTGTACACTCACTCCCTGTTTGGTTTTCTTCTGTATAATGTCAGGACTCCATTGGCTTGACCCCTCGGATCTGTCAGGTACGTCAGTGGACTGTACAGTTAAATGATTCAGCTACCAGTACCTGGTGTTGCAGTGTGAAATAAATTGCATTCTCCATCCCTTGCAGGGTCTCTTTAGGTCTGAAGACACTCTTCCTGATGGGCAAAACTCAAGCAGAGTGGAGATCAGGTACTGTGTTACAAATGTCTGACTGTGTGTGATTTTAATTTCTTTCCCAATGTTGACATTCAGATTAGACGGGAACTTATGAAACAATTGTGCTGCAGAGCTGCAGGCAAAATGGTGTAAATCAAAAACTGGATTTTCTTGTTGGTGTTCAAGGCAACCACAACTTCCACAACTTCTTGGAGGCAATGTGAATTTGCCAAAGCAGATATTATGCTGTCTCAGTTCTCCCTGCCATTTCCACACAAGGAAAAATTAAGTGTTTTTACAGTTCAGAGATTATAATTTCCAGAGTGTAGACTGTGTTTTTGGGTTGTTTGGTTGGACCTTTGTTCTAAAATGTAGACCATGTATGTAACCATGACTACGACCCGGTTCACACAAAGCCAGGATCCATTTTGTTATGTCATTCCCCTCCTTTGTCCCTCTGCACTGTCAGCTCTCCAATGATGGCAAAGTGCAAGAACAGTAAAGTTAAAGGTTGTTTTTTATATGATTTGGGAAACGCAGATAATAAACTTACAGAGCAACTCACTTAGGGCCTGTGTGCACATCGCGTTTTTTTCTGAGCGCCACCATCGTTTTTTCAATTGTTACCAAGGTGCTATAGCTTTTTTGTGCAGCCTCTTCGAGTACTTCTAGTTGAAACCTCTGGGCTCCTCAGAAAAGCACTGGTGTTGTCACTGCTGCTCATTTAGCTGCTGTCTACACTGAGCTGTATGATATGACAGTCAGCTACTATCACAGCAAAGACAGAAAAGCCTATTTGTGGGAACAGATCGACCAGATGCTGGATGTTGCTGGTGACTGCTGTGCTTTTTATCACTTTACACATTGTTAGCTTGTTGTTAAATGTGCAGTTAACCAGGCCCTCAGGAATGCAGCTCAGCCTTGCAGCAATTTCTTTCCAGTGGACACTCAATGGTACTGAAGTAAAAAAATCCCCTGGAGCCCAAAACTGTCTATAAAACTGTTGACAGAACACTTGGAATTGCAAAAAAAGAATCTCTCTAATCTTATTCGTAAAACATTCTTTAAGCCAGTCTATGAGGTGGATGGGAACTCAACGATAGAAACACTACTGCCTATATTCAGTGGGCTGCATACAGTGGAAGTAAATCTGGAAGCTAGAAGCTTCTTTCTAGCTTTTTATACGCCAGGTGAGCGACTCAGTTGGAATGAATAGGTGCCATCTTGATGTCTGGTATCCAGTTATTATTGAAATCTATGCTCTTAAAGTAGCATTACGTTAGCTACCTAGCTAACATTAATGCCAAGATATTATTATAGAAACAAAACCCACCTGAAGCACTTGCCAGCACATTGCCACCGCTTTTCTGCCCATGAAAAACGATATGAGGACACGCACCTATAATGTGTAATGGGACTGTATTTAGGCCTGTGGTATGCATCTCAGTGATAGTACGGACATAAAATGATAATTACTGACATCATACAAAGTGTGTGCCTTTGTATACCTAGTAGCTCAGTGGGTAGAGTGGGCCCATGTATGTGGGCAGTGTCCTTGCCGCAGCAACCATGGGTTTGATTCCAGCCTGTGACCCTTTGCTTTACTTTACTTTTACTTTACTGTTATCAATTAAAGGCAAAAAGCCCCCAAAAATCTTTAAAAAAAAGTGTGTGTCTTCATAGGAAGTTATTGTCTTATCCCTCTGTACCTGCAGCTTCCTTGAGATCTATAACGAGCGTGTGCGAGACCTGCTGAGAGGAGGAGAGCAGAAGAAGAGAACCTCTCTGAGAGTTAGAGAACACCCTGAGAAAGGACCCTATGTACAAGGTGAGCTCGGGGAACTTGTATCTCAACTTTGTGAAGTGTTAGACAGCAAAGACATCCTGTACTTTCCAGGACTAATCTCAGTTTAAATTTGAAAGGTGTTCTCACTTTTTTCTCAACTTCTGCATCTTGCATCAAAAACTAAGTGATGTTTTATTTATTATTTACCCTATCTGCAATCCTAATATATACACAAACACATGCATACTCCTACCTATATGCACATACACAGACATAAAAACTGTGCAGGAAAGGTAGAGGAAAAAAGATCTTTCCTAAAAGCACAAAGCAAGTAAAACAAATTAAATGAATTATAATTTGGATTCAGTACTCAAACACATCCTCACAGTTCCCTGTGTAATTGCACAAAATGTTGAGCTCAAAAATCAACAAATCATTTCCGCTTTTTATCTTTTTCTGTCTGTCTTTCTGATTAAATACTTAACTGGAGGTTCAGAGGCTGCAAATTCTCATTAAGATAATTTCACCTCGATTAAAATGAGATAAAAAAAAATCTGTGCAAATGTTCTTTTGAATAATCTTTCAGTGACCTCATGTCTCTGACACACAATAAGACACTGCATATTTAAATTTTAAGGTCTTAGGTGCTTTCTAAAGCTAAGAGCTCGAAGAAGTTTCCAGTCACAGTTTGTAAAACGTAAACAAACACTCAGCAGTTGATCACACAGTGTCCTAAACACTTTGAAGATGAGAGTGGATACTAATGGTTAAATCTTCTCTCTACACTCTCATACACACGTAGACACATAATTTTGTAAAATTATGGACTTGGACTTGTTACACGGTCTGCAGTATTTTGAGTCATGTTCGTGTCTTGTAAGTTTAGTTTAGTTTAAAAGGCGGTATGTGGTCAGGGATGGAATCTTGTTCCGTTGTTAAGTTTTTGATCCGGTCCGTCCTGGCTTTAATCCAGACTCCTCTTTTAGCTCGTCCTACTTCTTCTCTTTTTCTCTTTCTCCCTCCGTCTCCTCATCCTCCTCTCCTCATTCCTCCCCTCCCTCTCATCCAGCCCGTGTCTCTGTGTTTAAAGCCCCACATCCACTCATTGTCAGTATCAGGAGAAATCCCAGTTGACCAGAGGAAGTGAAGTCATTTCCTTGCGGTTCCAAGGAGAACACTTCACTGCAGACACAGAGCACATTTAAGACTTGCAGCTTTTGCTTCTTCTCCATCAGCACGTGTCCGGTCAAACAGTATTTACTGTCACTGTGACATTCTTTTGAAATAATTAAAATGTTTGTGTTGAATGTTCATATTAAAACAAAGGAAGTAGCCACATTTTATAGCACCACGTGGCTGTGTGTGCATGTGTTTAACAGCCTCTTGCATTGATGTGATTCACGCCTGGAAGTAGAGCATAGTGAAGAGTTTTTTTTGTGTGCGTATGTGTTGCTAAACGCTGTGGGAAAAATTACAAATCAAACATGAGCAAGTATTGATGAGACATGTTTCCTGTTTGTGACTTCACATTTTTATCTCTCCGGTTTTTTAACTCCTCTGCCTACATTTCTTTTTCATGTTTGCTGAAGTATCATCAGTGTTAAGCCACTGTCAGTTTTATGTTTTTGAGAGCTGTCTCTCAACAAAATGTCTTACAAATGTGTTTATTTTTTCATTTTACAAGTTTATTCCAAAAGCAGCCATATGGAGTCTTGACTTTAATCCCCTTTAGTCTTTGAACTTCATCCCATACAGTATTTTTAGAAGACTGTATAAATTTACATATGATTCATTATTTCCCAACTGTTGTATAATGTTCATGTAGATACACAGCAATGCAGCTGTACTGCTCTTGCATGTAATGTTAGTTACTTCCCACTGTGGCAGTGAATTAATAAACATTTGTGCTTATATCCACCTTATTCCTGAGGGCACTACTGTAGAAATGATTATGGTGAGATAGCGGAAGTAGCAGTGAGCTAGTTAGTCCCATCGTCTGTCTGTGGTTAGTCCCAGTAGCTACTGTTGGTGGCTAACCACCAATGCTGGTTCTTTTCCAAAGTAACTTACCAGTATAGCAAATACTGATTTATTTTTTAACAAATATTTAACTAATTTTAACGTAGCATTTTCTAAAATGTCTTCGCGGAGCTCTAGTACCTGTTGCACTGTCCGTGTCTGTAACGACTAACAACCAGTCTAAGCTAAATTTTTGTCTTCAGCAACTATGTGTTTAACAAGTAACCAGAACAAAAAGGGGATTGTTCCTGTTGCCAAAGGTGCCATTGATATGAGAAATAAAACCACAAGAGTTTCACGAGACATAGCAAAAAAGCATTAAATCAGAATTTGCTGAAGAGAATAACACCTCGACTGACAGGTGATATCTCTGTCTTTCCCTGTCTGACTTCATTCTCAACCTTCATTAGGAAATTGCACGTTATAAAATAAACTCGGCAACATACTTTGAAATATTTATTTAGTCATTAGGGCTGAGAATGTGTTACTGATTTAGCATACTTCCGTTATTTCTTTTACTACTATTTTATATTACTGTTACTGAAGTCTTCATCAATTATGTTAAAAGTTTGCCGAATGTGTTAGTATCCCTTAATAAGTCATCATAAATCATCTTTAGAAGGAGCAGATGTTTACCCTAAGCTAGCTCAGACCATGTTAAAGTTAACAATATTTTAACGGGGCAAGGAAAGCTAATTGCTATCGTGCTCGGTTTAAAAGGATGCTTTGATGCTTTGAGATGGCTGTCAGAGGTGGCATAGGTATGATCACATAATCTCGTTTGAGCTATAACAGGTGGTGTGTTGCACCATTTATTTCCCAATCGCTCTTGGAAAGAAGAATAGAGTATTGTAAACAAACTGTTACCATTGGAAATTGCCGGTTTCCGGTTCGACGCCAGAGGTTGCACCCATAATTCACTTCACGCAAGGTATCATGGGTGCTAGGAATAAGGTGGATAAGTCTTTAATACCACTCTTGGTTAAGTAAAGGCAACTCCCTCTGCACAGCCAGACTCAAGGATCAGGTGCTGGTTGGCCGTCGGAACATCTCAGATAAAATCATCAACATCAACTGAACTGAATATCTGTGATTTTATTAAGAGTGGAAAACACGTTTTGCCCGTGGCGCCTCCAGGTTCCCTCAACAGAATCATATGAGCACCCACAGGTGTGCTGAATATACATGGGTCACATTACTAATTATCACATTTATTTAAATTTTCTTTTTCAATATTTTTTCTTTCACGTTCTTCAGTACAAGAGTTACAAGAATTATGTGTGATTTAACCTTGTCCCATTATGTAGATGACTGACACAAAGATTTTATAAAGAAAGATAGACTGGAGGTCCTGCTTCTGTCTCTCTACACTGTTAGACGGAAAGAGGGAGTGACAGGAAGTGACAAGTGGCTCATGTCTTCATATGGATATGGATTACTCTTGATTTGTTTACTGTAGATTTCTCAGTATTTTGTTTCTCTCTAATCAGACCTGTCACAGCACCTGGTCTCAGACTGCAAGCAGGCCATGGACCTTTTGGAGGAAGGCATCGCTAACCGAATGACTGCAGCAACCCACAACCATGATGCCAGCAGCAGATCCCACGCCATCTTCACCATCCAGTACACACAGGTCATCCTCTCTCTAAGCCCTCTGTTTATCTTTAATACAGCTAAACTCATCTGTTAATGAGCCAATTTGCGAATAATCCTCCTTATAATTATTGTGCCTGTGCAGCTGATATTATTAGTATGTATTTTCAGGTGGAACATGTATCAGTATTTCAGATTCCAGTCTGATTACGCTCGTCTTTCCTCCACAGGCGATCCTAGAAAACAACCTTCCCTCTGAAACTGTCAGCAAGATTAACCTGGTGGACTTGGCTGGGAGGTGAAACTGTTATTTCCCTCTGTTGTGTGTTTTTCTTCCACGTCTTTAGAGTCAGAGTTATTGACTAAACTGCCCCCTAGTGGAACCAAAGATTTTCTGAACAAATTTTTATTGGATAATCTTTGTGTTTACTGATTGTGAATGACATGAACCTCATGTTGTGTCTGACAGTGAGCGAGCAGACCCCCACTACTGCAGGGACAGACTGACAGAGGGCTCTAACATCAACAAGTCGCTGGTCACTTTGGGCATCGTCATTTCTGCTCTTGGTAAATGTTTATGATTCAATTTGAAGTTTAGCTGATGATGTCTTAGAAATCCAGACCCTGCTATGTTTCCTTCCACATTTCTCACTATATTTCCCTGCTGTTCATAAATCCCTCAACCGTTGTACTTCTTCTTCCTGCTGCCTCCACAGCCCAGAACTCCCAGATGTCCAGCAGCTGTCAGAGTATCAACAGCATGGCCTCTGAGGGCGATGGCAGCACGGTTGGAAGCCACAGCAGCTCCCTGTCTGGAGGAGGAGGAGGTGGGAGGAGGCACTGCTTCATCCCCTACAGAGACTCAGTCCTAACCTGGCTGCTGAAAGACAGCCTGGGAGGCAACTCAAAAACCATCATGATTGCAAGTAAGTGGAACAGATGTCAGGATTGTGAAACGGCCATGGCTGTGAGAACTACAAATTAAGCTTTGCTAACTAAGCTAACAGAAAGTTTAGAGTTGGTTTCCAAAAAAGTAGCGACCATGAGCTGTTCTGTGTCAATATCAAACCCTTAAGGCAAACATGAAATATGAAAAGCATAGTTAGTAATTAATAATAGTGAAAATAAAAATGTAAATTTGGTAGTTTATTAAATTCCAGCCAAATCTAGTCTCTGTTTTTAGTTTCTTCTTTTTAAAACAGCCCTGCTCATCGTAACTGCTGCAAGATAATGTAACTTTGATTAAAAACCAATGTATGTGCATTAGTTTCTCAGTAATTATTAAGATGACCCACTTTATCTGCAGCAAGTCTAAAAGTTACTGTTCTGTATTGTACTAAAATGAAGCTAATGGCTGAGTGAGATTGGTGCCCGCATCAACTGAAGCTGCTACACCGACCATGGAAGCCATGTGTACCCCATTGCTCGCCTCTATTTTTATGCGGCTGTTTTTTTTTTTTTGTTTGTTTGTTTTTCTACGCACAGCTGGGCGATATGGACAAAAATTTATATCTCAGGATTCTCAAGCTAACTGGCGATACACGATATATATCTCCGTATTTTTTACGAAATGGGCTACGTGTTCAGTTATCAAGTCAAAGCCACATTTGAGATGTCACATGCACTTTTATAAAAACAGACTGTGATCAAAATAAAGTACAAAGACAGGAATTTTATTCCCGTGTTTGAAATATGCAGTTTGCAGCACAGGACACAAAACTATAACATGTATAGTACAGTACAGTATAAAAGTATCAAGTAGGTCTAAATCCGCTGTAGTTTGGAACAATTAAAAGTCTTTGTGGGGGGAGTTATAAAGTCGTTTTCCATCTGTTGGCCTTTCAAATGAATTCAGTGCTGGAAAATGATTCAAATCTTTTCATTAATCGAGGCTCATAATCTTATATATTCATATAGTATCAACAGAGAGGCTGAGGGAGGGAAGGAGGGAGAGACGCTATGTCTGCGTTACAGGTCCTCTAACGCTATGAGAGGACGCTATGTTACGCCTCACACAAACTAGCAGTGCAGCGCTGTACTGCACATGTGCTGTGGTAATTTCATTCATCTCACAGACTGATTTAGCGTAGCACGTGCAACATATAGACCGATGTCACACTATAGACTAATTAACAGATGGACTAAACAGAGGAGCAGCTCTGTGTCTCTCTGAGTGTTGCTGGAGAACGTGTGAGTGAATGAGAGGGGTGGAGCTGTGCGGAGAGTGCGAGAGAGGAGAGATGCACACTGGTATGCGTTATGTAACACAACTTGACCCTATATCGGTATAAACGGTATAAATATAAATTTATGTCTTGCTTGAAAATGTATCGATATGTCACACATAGTCATTATATTGCCCAGCCCTACGCACAGCCACACGGCGCAGAGAGTGGCTACTCCACTCTGTCTACATAACGCGTCACATCTGTGTCCCTTGTATCTTGGCTGTAATAGCTGGCTGGAAGGTTGGAATGAAAATTTAATAAGTAATGTTTATGTTTTGGAAAATAGTTTGCAATGATGTGACCACTGGAAACATCACTGCTATATTCCTTTAATTCTCACTCATGAAACTCCGTTCTTGTGATTTGAGCACTAATTTTCATGTGTATATGTGTGTGTGTTTTGTGTGTTTGTGTTGCAGCAATCTCACCTTCCGCCAGCAGTTACAACGAGACCCTCAGCACCCTGCGCTACGCAGCTCATGCCAGAAATATTGTCAACAAGCCTCGGGTTAATGAGGTCAGTGGCTGTTTAGAGTTCAATGCCAATATTTAATGTTTGATCTAGATGTTTTAAAGTAGGTTAATGTGTGCTGTGATTTGTGTGCAGGATGCCAGTGTTCGGCTGATCAGGGAACTGAGAGAGGAGATTGACAGGCTGAAGAGCATGCTGCTCAGCTTTGAAATGGTATGGTGACCTTTTATCGTTAGAGCATAGCGCTAGCTCTCAGAGGGATACACCCTACGGGCTTTACCCTCCTCAAAAAATCCTTCTTACCACTGTAAGGCTTTGAATTAAAGAGATTCCCACATTACACGTTTTTGTAGCAAAGGCTTAATACAGTGCTTTGTGTCTCTGTGACATTTTTCCGTCCCCTGGGTGGTAAAGACTGAATTGCATTGTAACGTGACATTTTCCTTTTGCACAGCATTTCTCACTGATGATTTTTTTTACCCTTTTGACTGACAGCAGCGTAATCCCAGTCCATCCCTGAGCGATGAGTGGGATGGAAATCTCTCTGACATCGTGCTACAGAACGAACTGAAGGTACGGACACACATGGTTACATCTGTCTGAAGGATACAGTAGTCCTTGACACATCAAACATCATGAGTTTGACACTAATTTCACTTTGAAGAAATACAGGGCAACATAAAATCAGAGGGCTGGGGACCTTGTGCCGAACATAAAACATCACCCTACAATGACTACTCTGGGGCTGCAGTCAGCTAAAGAAAATCTTGTTCGACTGAAATTCTGACTTCTTTTAAACCAAACGACTGGTCAATAGGGGGAAAAACAATCTGCGTGTTATCTCTAGATCAGTGGTTCCAAACTGGGTTGCGGTCCAAAAGTGGGTTGTGGGGCCATTCTGAATGGACCACAAGTGACTCTGTGAAGTTTGTAAAAAAACACATTTTTTTTCAAAGTACAGTGAATTTCTGACACAGAGCTTTTATTTTGAAGTGCTGTTTCCTGCTGTCGAGTGAGTGACTGACAGACAGCTACTTGAGAGAGACAGCAAACTAGCTCAACGACATGGCCAAACACAAGTATGATGCTGAATGTATTGAACTGTGTGGACCTTGAACTAATGACTAAGGAGAAATCTGGACCCTGGGGCTACTCCAGTTGGGAACCACTGCTCTAGATTAGCTAAGTCAGCTACTGAGTGGACTTTACCAGGTAGCGTTGTGTGTCCACCAAAGTGTTTATTTCTTTTTGGATTTTTTTGCAATGGGAGCAGTGTGTATTTACAGTATGTCACAAATACCAGCACCACTATTGGCACCATTAAGTATTGAAAATTTGGGTAAAACACTGCGCTCCTCACTGTCACTTCTTACCCAGTCATCCAAACATAGTGGAGGAGGGTCGGGTCAAACACCACAAGTGCTGAAAAACAACAAAGACGCTGTATAGACCCGCGGGCTGTCCCCTCTCCCTATGTGCTTCAGCCTTCCCCTCATCCAGACCAAGTACCCTACCTTGTGTTGGCATTTTTACTCCTGCAGATATTCCATATCAGAGCAACCAGATGCAACCAAAGTAAAAAAAAAAAAAAACCTTGCGCAACAAAAGCACTCTAGTGCTCCTGGCAGGGAGTTTTCAGCTTGAAAATAAACACCATTCATGGTCCAACCAGTGAGAATTTGGCAGAGCATACTACCGATCAGAATGTGTCAGCCCTCCACTACTCCCTTTGAACTCTCTAACCTCCTTGACCTGTTGTTGGGTCCATCATCACAAATGTGTGTTGTGCGGTATTATTTCAGCTGACAGGTAATGAATTCTAAACTCCATTCAGGTCACAAGGTTTTAGAGAACATAGAAATACACAGTGCAGATTTATTTTGCAAATGAAATGCACTTAAAAAATCAGTTCATCCAGGTTACAGTTAAGATTTTTTCCAGCTTACTCTTTACTGTTTTAAAATAGCTTTTCCCTGCAAGTTTTCGATATTATTGCCTACTATTTGTCGACTTCTGACTTGACGGGAACAATTCAATAGATAATAATAGAAGATAGTGAAACTAGGACATTATTTCTTGAAGAAAACATGAAAACAACTCATTTTCAGATGCAATCTTTGACTGCATTGAGGTCTATAAACAAGATTCCATTCACCTCTGTTGTGCTGTGAGCGCTGCAGATGTTTCAGCAGTGGATATCACAAAATCTGTGTGTAGGAATAAATACACATCAGTGACACATTGTCAAACAGTTTGTTTTTCTTCTGACTTTGAAACTTCTTCAAAAAATGGGAAACATTGGGATTTAATATAGAGTAAAATACAGTAAATAATCTTTATCATTTAACTTACGGGTGGTAGAAGTAGTGGAATTAGTAGTGGCTGCAGTTATCATCTTTGTCTTTCTTACCACAGATATTTACACACCCTCTTAATTACCTTCCTCCATCATCTTCATCAATGTCTCTTCCTCAGGTGGAGCAGCTGACAAAGGACTGGTCGGAGAGCTGGAGAGACAAGAAGGAGCTGCTGGAGCAGTACAGCGTGGACATCAACCGAGACCAGGCTGGATTTCTCATCAACTCGCTCCAGCCACACCTGGTTACTTTGGATGGTGATGTCCTCAGCACCGGGGTCGTCTTCTATCACCTCAGGGTATGATAGATGCATTGTGTCCATAAATAGTAATGTTTTTTATTGTGGTGTTATTTACTGTAAGCGTACCCCTTGATGAAGTCTTTACTTTGTGAGTTTTCTGCAGTGATTTTTGTGTAAATATCAGAAAACATGTCAAGTATAGAATTTCATAAGTGTAGCACTCAACATTAATATTAATAGTGTGATGCATGTTAGTTGTATTGGATGTATGAAACGTGTACTTTCACTCTCTTGCTCTGTACATTTCCCATCATCCCCAGAGACACATCACTTAACTGAACATCACGCATTCTCCCACAAACTGATATTCTTTGCATTTGCTCTACTTTTTCTCAATTTCTCCAAACTCCAAAGTTCCTGATTTGTCAGCTGTCTCGACTAAAACAATCTTTTTTTTCCCCTACTAGATTCTTCCCCCTCCTCCTCCCGCTATTTCTCTCTGTTCTGCTAGAAACACTCTTGAGAAAAGGTGCGTTTCTACTGTCTTTTCTTCTCACTCTACCCTCCAACTGTCCTGTCGAGCTCCCATATCTGCGTATATGTGTGCGTGCGTGTGTGTGTGTGTATCTTCCGCAATGCATAAAGCTCTGTTGGATAAGAGGCTCTTAGTTCTGAGGCTAGGACTCAGGGGAGCCTAAGCTGTCCTGATTCTGACAATGACAAGCGTACCCTTAGGCCTGACAATTACACTGTTTCCTGCATGTGAAGAGTGGAGGCCACCTGGGAACACATGTGGTCTTGACACCGCATAAGAAAGCCTTTAATCCTGTTAGATAAGACTTCAAAGTAAACAAATTATATTTTTTTCTGTCAGCTAAGTGAAAGATTAGATGTGAAAGGACAATAGTTTTACGGATCATTGTGTTTAAGTCTTGTCATTATATCCACCATGGCTTGTGTTGTGAGCACAGAATGCACAGTAGTTGTTTTGATGTTTTTATTTTTGTACACTTTGAATATATGTTTACATAATGCTTTTCTTCTTACAGCAAGGAGTTACCCGCATTGGACCTCAGGAGGAGTTTGAAGACCCACATATAGGTATTATTTATTCACTTGGTGTTCAAGTTTCCTCGTCCAGCTGCTCAAACTATATTAGAACTGTTGTACTATGAACAAGTGGAAATCCTCAAAGCATTTTACGATAATAAATTATCTTAGAGTAGACATACAGCAGAGAAAACATGCAGCATAAAACATGGCAGAAGATATGAAAATACACAGTAGATTTTAAGTATTAAATGAGAGTGCAAAGTAAAACAACATTAAATCCTTACACAAACTGTGCACTCTTCGTTAAACGCTGCTTTGAGCGCTGAGAGTATTCAGCAGTACAGTAGCTGCAGTGGCACAGCTCTCTAAATCAGTATGTGTGTGTTGTGTTTCTTCTGCATTCTGTTTGTAGTTCTGCAGGGCAGTGCCAGCTGTGAGATTGAAAACCATGGAGGTGTGGTAACACTCAGGCCACTGCCGGGCTGCGTCTGCCTGCTCAACGACAGAGAGGTCACCGAGCCCTGCAGACTGGCTCAAGGTCAGCTCATGTTCTCAACAGAACACTTTGTTCACACCGTCTTGGTCTCACTGCATTTTGTATGCATACCTTACACAGATCGGATGTTTTGTAGTCGAGGCAAACAGCAAGAAGAAAGTTGTCACATGTTTTTAATATCTGATCTGATGTGAGATTGATATGGTTTATTCTTTCTTATTTTATTATCCCAATGCAGTTATTGTCACTGTCAGGCCTTTTAGAAGCTCAGGTGAGGTATGACACATGTAAGACAGTAGAAAGGGAAAGTTATGATCTGTAAGATTTGAGTTCTGGTTGGTTTGGTTGTCAGTGGTGGAATTTAAATAAGTATGTTTACTCAAGTACTGTACTAAAGGACAGATGTAAGAAACTTTTACTTGAGTAATTTAATCTCATGCCACTTTCTACTTCTGTCCCACTACACGTGAAGGGGAAATATTCTACATTTTTCCACTTTTCCACTGTTTTGATAATTGAGTAAGTCATTGTCATTTTATTGAAAAAAAAATGTCATGGTTTCAGTTTCACAAATACAAGTTTTAAAAACAAAACAATTTTTAATTAATTATTTTGGTGCATTAAATTGATTTAAAATTTTCTACACTGTGTGCTTTTACCTTTTTTTTTTAATTTAATTTAATTTTATTTTTTCAATTTTTATTTAGAACAAGGAGCACAGTTCTTACATCACATCATATTTACAAAGAGAAATGATAAGTATAAAATAAAATAAATAAGAATTTGGTAGGAAGAAATACACTTAATTAACAATTGAAGTAAATTAAAAAAAGAAATTCACGCTTACAAAGCAATAATAATAAGTACCACTTTTTTGAATCAATTAATTTTTGTACCTTGAGTGCTGTTACTTTTAATACTTTAATAACAGTAACATTTTAGAGTACTTTACTTAGAGTAAAGTAACATTTTCAGTGCAGGATTTTTACTAGTAACAGTATTTTTACAGTGTGGTATTAGTTTACCTTAGTAAAGGATCTGAATACTTCCTCCACCACTGCTTGTTGTTTAGTATTACTTGTTATTTTATTACCAAGATGCGACCAAGAACAGTTCTGTTCACAATGATGTCTTAACTCTGCAGCTGACATTATAAACTACCATTTAGAGAGGTAACTAGTGAGTGTAAATGAATTTATTGCTCATAGCAAAATAAAGGCCAAACATAAGTAACAACAAAACTTCATACTTAAAGAACATTGTGTTGTAAAAAACAGAGTGGTGGTAACATAGCATGAAATCAGACCTGAGCAGCACTTGACATTAAGAATTGAGGTCATGTAATAGCTGTGCTCTGCTGGATATCACACATAGGTTAATGTACAATTATATGCACACACTGAACAGATGAGATTTGATAACATATATGGGTTAATGTACAATTAAATATTCATAGACACTTCAATATGCACTGATAAAATTCTTCCCAGGGGTAAACGTATAGACACACACTCATGTACACTCATACACTGCAGCACATACACCTCATCAGCTTACATCAACACAGTGCTACAGGATGAGCACAGCTTGTGACCAAGGAGGTGTCTCTCTTTCTCCAGGGACGGTGATCACCCTGGGAGGAGTGCATAAGTTCCGCTTCAACCACCCAGCAGAGGCTGCCGTCCTCCGGGAGCGCAGACGGGTGGGTGCTGCTCAGTTGAAAATAAAAATGATACAGTCGTGATAATGTTGATGATGAGCAGATGAATGAAATGCTGTGGATAAACTGTAATGCCAATGATACACACTATTGTTTCAGATCACTTACATTATATGTTGCTCTGAGAATAGTTGTGATTGTGTATTATTTATCTCTGATATTAAAGTTGATCTTTTTGTGATCTGTTCTCAGGCCAGTGAAGGTGGCATGACCTGCACATACATTGACCTTTGTCCCATGACTCCTGACCTCAGGTAAATACTGCCTCCAAAAAGGAAATTCACAGAGCAACACAATGTTCATCCCTCTGTGAACATGTGTGTGTTGTGTGCAGAGATCTCATTCTGCCAACTCACAGCATACATATTTCATCAGAGGTACATGTCTTGTACCATGTTCATGCATGTAGAAATAGGGCAATGCTTCATGCATGTTTCAAAGTGGAGATGGCATGTGTTTCCATTAGCCCCCACCCTCCTGAACAATCCCAGTTAGCTGTTTACAGGACAGGCTCAGCCGTTGCCTGGTTACTGCTGAAAACCAACAACAGTAGCTTTTACTTTAAACCTGCCACCACCTTACTGCTTAATTCTAGACAGGGAATTGTACCAAGGTGAGCTGAAAGGATTTCTTCCATTTTTTTGTTTTTTTTTTCAATCACAGTTCCTTACTTTGTATTTTACCCTGGATCTCTGTGTGTGTTTTAAAGTGTCGAAGAAGTGAAGCTCCAAGGCCAGCTGGGTGCCTCTCTTTCCCCCAGTGAGGAGCCTACTGCTAGGCAGCGCGTGGAGGAGCAGCAGCGCTACGTGGAAAGTTTGCGACAGGAGATTCAGGCTGAACAGAGGCGAGCTGAGAGAGAGCTGGAGAGGGAGCAGGCCCACCTCCGACAGCAACACAATGACAGTAAGTCGTCTTTCAACACACTCACATTAATACAAAAGGTTATTGCTCATGCAGATACCTGTTAACTTCCAAATACAAACAAAAATTGTACATAGTTTTAAACCAAAATGGATAACAACATCAAATTCAGTACACGGATGAATGTTTATTATGATCTCCCTCTGTAAATCTTTACCCAACAGTCCAGCAGTGGATTTTCCAGGAGAAACAGCGCCTTACAACTGTAGAGCAAAGAATCACCCAAGAGTCCGGAGTGCAAACTGACCTTATCCCTGCACCCCTCCTGGAGCGAGTGGCAAGTCAGGCATCTGAAACCCAGGAAGGTCAGACAGTGGATTGTCCGTCGCAGGTGGCAAGGGCTAGGAAGAAGGCGGTACAGGAGGAACTTCTAAAGCATCACGCCCTTTGCCGTGCCGAGAGCCGCATCCGTCGGAAAAAGTTGCACTACCAGTTGGAGAGAATCGCCCGCAAGCGGCATCTGTTGGAAGCTAAGAGGGAATTGCAGCAGCTGGAAAGCGCCTTGCCTCCAGCACCAGACAGCCCCGAGTCTCCTGAGCTGGGGTCCCCTACGAAACTCAGAGGAAGACCATTTGTTTCTCGTAGACACTCTTTCTCTGCAGATATTCTGTCCCGGCTCTACCCACAGAACACCCCGATCTTCAGGTACGCACATAGAGTCATTAATTGTGTTGTGGGCAGGCAAACTTCTTTGCATAACTAACGTAGGCTCCTACTGTCCCAAAAAAGCTTCGCAGATTTTTATCTTGCATTTGTATCTTGATATTTTGTGGTTGCTTGTGCCTCCCATACATAAATATTTTACAAAATTTAAATTTCCTCCTTGACAGGCACTTCCTCAAGAGAAACAGATCCATAGAGCTGACGTCAAATTCCTCCACAACCTCTGATTCCATCGACAGCAGGAAGTGGGTTTCGGATGAGTGTCTTCCTCGGCAAAGAACCCAGAGTTGTTCTGGTACGTTCTTCTCAGGACAAAGCCAAGCCAGCCGGAGCAGAGTAAGCTCCTCTGAAAACATCAGACAAACTGCCAAAGAGGAGCCCCAAGCTCAGCCCTGTCGGGAACGACCAGAAAGAAAACCTCTGCTGCCAAACAGAAACCTGTCTTTTAAGAACAGATCGGATCAGAGCTCAGCAGTTACTCTGAAGTCACCACTTGGAACGGCTTTGCAGCCAAACAGCAAAGAAAATATACAAGGACCCACCACATGCAAACCGAGTAACCAGATTGTCCCTTGCATGAATGCGATAACTCAACCTCATGCAGGTAGCAACGGACTGGAAACCATCAGGAAGACTTTCACTCATTCTGTGGGGCCCAGATTAAAAACAGCTCTCTCCAAAGTGTTCAGGAAGCCACCATCAGGTGGAAATGGAGGACGAAGCCCCAAACCTCTGGGGAAGATAGCTAGCAAATTTCACTGGAGACAAAGAAGAGACAGGAGCCTTAAAGAAACCAAGATGAGCCGAAGCAATTGTACTGTTAAAGCAGCTGCCTCATGTGAGGAGCTTGACCAAAGGACACTGTTTGAGGATGTTAGACAGAGGCGGTGGCATAGCACAGAGGCTCTGATGAACAAGACCAGCAGATGGGTCGAGAGACAGCAGGGATTGACGGAATGGGAGGAAGAGCAAGAAGACCGAGATGAAGGAACGTCAGACTGTGAGAGCCTTTTCTCTCTGGATTCGCTGTCCTCTGCTTATATGACAGCACTAGCAGAGCAGCTGAAACAGGAAGAAGCAGCTCAGAGTGAAGCAGAGAGCGAAGACAGTCAGATGTCTAAAGATTCATTGACTGTGGGGAGCAGTGAGAAATATTCAACAGTGGAGAAGCTGAGCCAGAGAGTGGTGCCAACTTACACATCAGTGACAGATTGCTTCCATCCGTCCATGCGGCACAATAGAACAGCAGACACAAGTTTAGACTTGGACAGCCAGCAGAAACCTCAGGTAATCCCAGCAGAGGCGTACTGGAGTCAGCAGGGCTCCCCAAAATCAAGACATAGTGGTGCAGCAAGGAAGCCTCTTTCCCACAACCCGTTAGTAGCAGATTCCAGAGGCACAGACATTGTGCACAAAATGATTGAGGACTTTGGGAACATGCAGACCACTTCGGCCAGCAGCCCACGCTCCCTGAGCAGCTGCAGTGTGAGGGAGCCAGAGAACATGCTGGCTCTCACAGATGCCTGGTCCTCCACCGATGCAGCAGACAGTCCCAGAGTTCACAGGGATTCTTTGCCTTTCCAGAGAAAAATGATGTTCAGAGGTGTAGAGAGCAGCAGCAGTCCCAGTCCAACCAGTATGAACCTCTCAGACTTTCAGAGTGGATCTACAAGCTGTAGTTCAACATCCACCAGTACTGAGGGTGTGAGTGTTACAGTGGAGGGCCACAGTGTGGAAATTTCAAGTGTCACATCAGAAAGAGTGGATTTTCAAGACTCTCCGATTCTAACAACACCAAACGAAGCCCTGAAGGATGTAGGATGTTGGGTAGAGCAATCGGAGGGACAAGTAGAAAATGTGGCGAAGACAGTTGGAGATATTCCAGAATTCAGGAGCATCAAAAGTCAAGCATCCTTACTGACCTTTGATCAAACCGCTTCTGTGTCATCCACTGAGATTCACCTCACTAAACAAGCATCACAAGTAAAGTTGCTTCCGGTGTTTGCAGATGTGTCTCACACGATTGCCACTGACGTTAAGATGTCCTCTGACACTGAAATGTGTGTGTCAGGTTGTCAATCAGTATTGAACATGACGTCTGACCCATCATGTGCCTTCAAACTGTGCACGAAAGATGTAGTACAATGCAATCTACATGGTGCAACAGATACGTTGAAAAATGTACAGCAACATGAGCTTGGGAACACCGAATATGCCTCTTTCACAAGGGACAAAACATTGGATAAGGCTAAAACCAAAGGCGCTGAGCAGCACACTGCTCTACAGCAGGAGCTTGTTAAATCAGCTTGTAAAAATTCCAGGAAGCGGAACAAAGACCAACAGGATGCTTTCATCGGCAGCCTGAAAATTCCTAAAAGGAGCAACAGCGGAGAGTTGGTAACTTTCTGCTCTGCATCAGTTGGCAGCGAGGAAGATATTTGGCCAGGTGACAATAATGACGCCAGTGACTCAAAAGGGGAACAATCTGCCGCGGAAGCTGAGAACCCCAGATTTGATTCTGTTTGTGTTGGTGGCAGCATTAGACAAGACACAGTAGCGTCAGAGGCGTCGCCAGTTTCTGATCCCGTGAGCAGGCAGCTTGGACAGAGTTGTGAGACCTCTGAGGTCTCTGAATGTGGTTACAATAGTTCTCAGAATGGCACCTCTGCGGGGGAGAGCAAAGTAGTTGAAAAGAAAGATGTAACAATACAGGAAGTTGCTGCAGAAACAAAAGGGGGTGACTCACTAATTGATAACCCCAGAAAACATCAAGAAAGTAGAAAACACATGAGCAAGTCAGATGCTATTTGTAGCGCCATTGACCTGAGAATCTCAGAAGTGGTGAAAGAGCACATGAGATTGTCGCTGATTGGCAGCAATGGAGACCGAAAGAGCAGGAGTCAAAGCATGAATGCCTTGTCATCCTCTGCGTGTCATTTTGGCTGTAATAGTGATGAAAATGGATTGGTAGATAGAGAGCTGAGAGATAAAATGAGCGATCAGGTGAAAGAAAGAGTAACCTTTGAAGGTCACCTTTCATTGGAAAGGACGACAAGTGAACATGCAATAGACAACAGTGTGCACTTGGCATCTGATATGCCAGCTGAATTGAGGACTAGCCATGAGAGCAACATGTTTAACTCTACTGAAGTAACTCAGAAGATTGAACATGCTCCTACCTTTTCTGATCATTGCCTTTTCCAAAACTCTTCTGCTAAAAACCACAACTTCCAATTAAATCTGACACTCAATAGCAACGTAGAGTCTGAGCACTCTAGCAACCCCACTTTGCAACCAGTTAAATCGTCCTTATTGAGCAATTCCTCCATCGATTCTCATGGAAACGCTGTGGAGAAGGATGCTTTGTGTCAAGAAATGAAGGATTCACCTAAACAGAAAGTAACATCCCGTCTTAATCCTTTGATCAAACATGCTTGCTTAAATGAAGCGGACACCCAGAGCTGTTTTCCTGAACATCACCAAATAATACCCCATGAAACACCTCCCAGCAAGGGTGACGCAATAGAAAATTGTGGCTGTAATCACGTAAATGTCAGTATGGAAACCACATCCAGTGTGGAAGATAAAGGCACTTACAAATGGAACATTCAGCATTTCCAAAATAGTCCTGACACATCTGGAGCCATAAAATTATTTCCTGATGGAGGAAGCCTTCAATTCAAAATGCACGAATGTCAAAGCAGCCAATGCACGCCCACTCATGAGAGTGCCTTGGTGAAAGGGTTTGCTGCTTCTCCTGGCTGTGATGGAAATTGTGAAACAAGACGCACAGCACAGGATGACATCACCTGTCCGCAGAATCATTCAAATAACTTGGTGCAGACTTGTGTGATCAATATGAATTACCACAGTAAATGCCAGAATGTTTCAGATTCACTTTGCAAAATTGTTAAGGATAATCAAATTGACAGTAAACGAGATTGTGTAATGAAAAACGACAAACAGACACTGACTCCAAAGATCTTTGCAGAGGCAAAACGTGAAGCAAGTCTTTCTGGCTCTATGCAGCCACAACAGAAAATACCACAGGGCAGTGCCATCAGAAATACATGTTGCTATGGATCTGTGGTGTCAAAACAGGTTCAAGTAAACACACCTGGTGATAAACAGGATAATCCTGCTCTTGTGTCCAAAAAGGCAAAGTCTAAGAGGTTCAAAAGGTCCAAGATTCAGACTCATCCCACCTCTTCATCTGAGTCGTCTCTTAAGTCATCAGATGAGGATGAGGAGGATGACGTAACCACCAGAGCGCATCACACCCGGCTCTTATCGAAATGTGTAAAGCTTAGTGTGCAGAGTAATGGCAAACAAGAAGTCAGACAGGCTGCAGATATTTCAACTACTGTGTCAGTGAGCAAATCTAAAATGAAGAATTGTCCTGCTGGAGCCCTGGGTACAAGTGAGGTGAAAGTTAGTAGAGATTATGCCCTAAAAAGACACTCCTTGCCCCCTCAAACAAAGTCTCAAAGGACAAATGCAGAAAATATCAGCCTGTATGCAAAGAAAAGAGAACCACAGCAGGACTCATCTATGCATTTTGCCTCCAGTGACATCAACCCTTTTGTTCACCAGTGGCAAGACGATGAATCAAACCAACACTGTTATAATAAGAACCCTGCGTTCGGGAGTGCCGCTGACCTATCCTGTAAATCCCCACTTTTGAACAGCGCTGAGAAGCGTATAACACGATGCTGCAGCGTTGGTGATGGCTTGAACGGGCAGAACTCGCCTTTCTATTCCCATCTGAGCACTTACGCCACCAACAAGGGGCTGTCCAGCACGCTTAGCAGCGTGGAAGATTATAAGGAACAAGGGGACAAAAGATCTCAGCTCACGCCCTCTCAACAGGCATCTGTTGATATTCACAATCATTTAGCCAATCTGACTGTGACCGGCAGCTCTGCAATTAAAGATGCTCCTGGTGGTTTTTGTAACAACTCCAGTCAAGTGGATGAAATAATGTTTGTGTACTCATCTGAGCAAGAGTCCCAGGAAAGCGAAACGCACACCCAAAGGAGGAAGACATGTGAGCATGGCACTCAAACTGAGCGTGGCCTTCAGTCGGTAACTATTGGTAACTGCAGCAGCGCTCCAAAGAGAAGAGAGCGGCACAAAAGGAGTAACACCGATGTACCTGCAACACAGAGAGCCAAAGCGGACATTAAAGAATCTCCGACGTGGGCCAGCATGGAAAGCATGTCGGCTCACCTCTCAAAGCTGATCGACAGCACCTCAGACTTACTTGGAGACGTCCAGGGAATGAGAATAGGCGAAGCCCTCAAGTCCAGTCCGAGGAGGAGTGTCAACATGTCAAATATCAGCGTGTCTTACAGTGAGTCTCATGACTGCAAACAGAGAGACTGCTCAACTCAGACAGCTGTAGACGTCGGCATCCAGACAGAAAGATCCTCAACACCAGCAGAGAGGGAAGTTCATCAGATACTCAATGAGACGTCCAAATCTCATGAAGTCAATGTCATAGTCAAAGTGATTGGCTCTGAGGTTGTCAGTGTGTCTCAAGACAAGAATGGGCAAAAGATGCAGAGCATGCCTGACCTGAGTTTCAACACCTCTGCTGCATCACAAAGGTCTGTCTTACAATCAGAGAACCTAAAAACACCAATAAAGACTGCAGGTGAATGTCAAAGACGTGTCAGATCTGCTTCCTCTAGAGGCTCAAAGCAGGTCACGCCTGATGCACCGTGCCACAAAAGTGTTGCAATATCCGAAGTGTCCCGCAGATCATCGAAAAACGGCTACCAAGAGAATCCTTCCATAAGAAATGACCCATTACTTGCCTTAAAGAAACAAGCCACATACACAGACCGTGCATCGTCTCCAATTCTGACTGTGGGAACAAGATTACGCGGAAAGCAGAGAGGAAACCAATCAATGCTGAGTTTTCCGAAATATCAGAATGTAAGTAAAGTCCATAATTCTGAGAAAGACAGCTTTACCTCTAGCAAACAATCAGCATGTACGACTGTTTCAGAGGGTGATCAAACCCCAAGACACGACTGTGATGTTTCCTCTTGTGCATCAGAATCTGTTTCACTTGAGAAGGTGAGTGAGATGACTTGCTCAAGCCCTACAAGGTCTGATGAGTACTCTATAAGTTCATCACTTTACAGATATACAGACACAGACAGGAGGAATTCTACCTGCAAAGACTCCAAATGGCAGGCGACCTCTCAGCAGTGGACGACTTCCACTTCAACAAAAGTCTTAACAATGCAGAGCCAAATCTCTCCCATTTTAAGACAGACTGATGTGCACAAACAGCAGGCAAACACTAGACATGGAAAAGCATCAAGCTACACACGACCTGCAGTTGATTCAGTAGATTTTTGCGTCGATTCCTACAATCCATCCCCGGACAGCAACAGGACTGTTCAGCTTCAGGAGGACGACATGGTGTCACTGGCACCCAGCGAGTGCAACACAGACATCCTCGTGAACACTGAACCCGTCACCAGTGTGTCTCCGAGTCACAACCACCACATAGCTCCAGAAGACCTGCCATTGCACAACAAGTTCACCAACTGGTCGGGCATCAACCTTCAACCGTCAAAATGCTCCAACAAACCAGCCGCATTTCCCACCAAAGACCACGACACCTGCAGAAACTGCGCTGAGTGGAGTGAGATGGAGAGCTACGGCTCAAATGTAGAATCCATGACGCAGAGCGACAGAAGGGCGAGAGAGATCGAGAGGCTGCGGCAGGAGAGAGAGCAGGTGATGGCGATGGTCAGCCTCAATATGAACCCGACACCGCTGACTGTGGAACTGACAGAGGCCAAGCTGCACTACGGCCTCGGAGAGACAGATACACTGTTGAAGATGATGTCCCCGAGGACCACAGAAGAGCTGGAGCCGTCAACCTCTGCAACCACCAAACAGCAGCTGTATGATAGGTAAGGATACAAATGACCCAAACACTCTTTATATAATATAGTTTAGTTGTCTTAAAGGGACAGTTTACCCAAAAATCTAAAATACATATTTTCCCTCTTACCTGTATTGCTATTTATCAGGCTAGGTTGTTTTGGTGTGAACTATCGGCCGTATCAGATGTCTGCCTTCTCTCGAATATAATGGAACTAGATGGTACTCAGCTTGTGGTGATTAAAGCGCCAAAAAAATACATACAGACGGTTTCTAGGCTGCTTTTGAGAAGGCATTAAGGTCCACTACTCAGCCCTAAAACTGACCCAGATCACCTCAAAGTATTCCAAAATCTGCTAAAAGCCTCATTTTTGACCTTATTTATTTTCTGTTTCTGTGAATCTCTCCTCTCAGACACCGCAGGAGTATCGCTGGTTTGAGGCAGGAGAGAGAGGAACGTCTCCAGACTTACCGCAGAGCTCGTAGTCTGAGTCCCAGCAAACATCCTCGCTCCGCTCCCCAAGAGGCTGTTTCCTCCTCCAAGGTGTCTGCCGCCATGCCCAGTCGGCGCAACGAGTACCTACAACAGCTCCGCCAAGAGGTGATAGACAGCACCAGGTAAGACTCTAGTTGTCTCACAAAATAGTCTCAAATTTGAAACATAATCTTGACTGAGTTCTCACCGAATTATCTAAATGACAGAATATCAGACCCCGCACGAGGAGAAGGCCAGTGTCCATCTGACATCGAGCAGCTGTTGCGCGACTACAGCCGAGCCCGGGAGGAGGCCAGGACGGAGATTGCGAAGGCGCGAGAACGACTGCGAGAAAGGACTGAGCAGGAGAAGAGGAGGCTTCAGCAGCAGGCCCTGTCTCAGGAAGCCAAGGTCTGTTTTTGTGTCATTGTATTGTCATAACTAATTTTAAATGTCACAACATGATGTTGAGTTTAGGCAAACCGTATTTCTTTGTGCTATTGTCAACCCACTTAAAGCAACAGATAAGAGCTAAAAATTAATATCTTGATTATTTTTTGATTATTTGTTTCATATATTTTTTAGGAAATAGTGAAAAATGTCCCTAGATAACTTTTCTGTAACTGATTGTTTTGTCTGAGGGACATTTAAAAGCACAAATATTTAACTTACAATCATATAAAAGAGAGAAAAACAGCAAATTTTCACATTTGACAAGTTCATATCAGCAGATGATTAACTTACCGATTATTTTAGCGCTACATTAGATGGATTTGAGAACTTATCTGTATATATCTTCTTTTTTTGTTACCTTTGATTATATCAGACTGTATTTGCCAATGAATTAGGTTCAAATGGACAAACATGGATAATACAAGATGTTGTGAGTGGAATTTAAGGGACTTGAAGTTTTATTCACAAAACTTGCAAAAATCTCACTGGTATCTTCCGTCTCCCTGTGTCGGGCAGGATGACCTGAGGCATCGGACGAGAATCAGTAATAGCACCTTGTGCACTGGATCCAGCCTGAGCCTTTCCTCTGGACCAACATCTGGTTACAACAGCGGCAACACAGCTCAGCTACAGCACAGCAACAGCCCGGTTTTGACTGGACAGGTTGGTGCACTACTGCTAGAGATTGTACAATGAACAGCTAAAAAAATCCAAGACTGTAAATGAAATGTTTTGGCTTGGTTTTATGGTGCAAATATCTTGTATTTATGTCTTTGTTGTATTGTGTATTTTTGAATGAGGATTAATGTGTTGTTGTTTCTGTCTTCCTTCAGATCACAGGTTTTCAGGATGAAGGGCTGAAGGTCAGGACACGTCCCCCTATATGTGGTCCTCAAAGTGTGAAGACACAGAGAGTCTGGCTGTCTGCCCATGGTAAGGACCAGACTGTGAATCACAAACACCCAAACAGACCTGGGCTAAACAGTTGACAAAACTATGCTCAGTTTCCTTAAATACAACAACATCAAATGCAAAGAATCATTGACATTATTTTAAATTCAGAAAGTAATATACAGTACATGATTCTAATGTAGTTTTGTCCATGTCTGTCACTATTGCGGCACTTAAACCCCTCTATAGTCTCTGTATTGAAATTCCATGTTGACACAGGGTTCCTGTGGATCCTTAAAAAGCCTTAAAAGGCATAGGGTTCATTAATCTACAAGAAAAAAACAAACAAAATGTTATTCTAAGCTGTAGTAACCCTGTAACATCCATGTGTTTCGCTAGATGTCCGCCTTGACCCTCCTGTCATTGGGTTTGAGCCCCTGATGGCTTCATCCCCATCACCCTCAACCTGTACACGTCAACGCACCGCTTCCTTTGGCTCCTCCTCTTCCATATCAACAACCTACCAGGATATCACATCTAGTCTCCTTGGCAGAGCTCTGGCTGAGGTAACACAGACCTGATTTAAAAGAATATTTCTTTGCTGTACAGACTGTTTTTTTATTTCAGCAAAGCATCCAACATCCCAGCCGTTACATACATCTGTTTAAATACACATTCAAATCTTTCTTCCTGTTTTTATTTACTAATGTTTGTATCAGGTTGAATTGTATATTTCTCTCTCTACAGGTGCGACTAGCTTCGTCTGGGGATTTGAGCAATCTGCTGAGGGGCAAGGCCACAGCAGGCTGGAGGTGAGCTCAGTCACTGTCTTTAATCAACTCATCCAAATATAATTTACCTTTAATCCAGTCCCTTAGTATGGTCAGGATTTCCTCTCCTTCTGAGATTAATTAACCTCAAAATAAAGGCTTAATGTCTGGTCAGAATCACAGACATCTGCTGACGTATTAAGCCTGTGTTTATTTAGGTACCAGGGAGATGAACGAGGTATCCAGGCTTACTACAAGCCCTCCTCCAGCCCGTCTGTCCATGGTTTCCTCGGGGCCGGGGAGCTGGACAGACCGCTGGACAGTCTGTGGAACATAATCTGCCAGCTGTCCAAGAGCCACATGTATAATCAGTCAGTCCGTTCTGTCTGGACACGACCACTAGATGACAGCACTCAGCTGGGTGAGCTAATACATCTGCTTAGTCTATGTCCTCACATGGAATGGTGGAATACACTGAAGTAAATTTAATCAAGAGCTATACTGTACTTAAGTGCAAATTTGAGATAGATGTATTTAACCTAAGTATTTCCATTTAATTCCACTTTATACACTCTAAAAAAATAATCCACTGGTTCATCTTTTTAAGTAGTTCCAAACTTAATTAATTTAGTAAAACCAACATGACTTGCTTTAACTTCCAAAAAACTTTACTAAGTTGAATCAACTTAATATTAATATGAATATTAATATACCAATATAAATATATTAAAAAATATAATAATATTTATTATTTAAAAGTTGTGGTGATATTTAGTGGTCAAATTATTTTATTTAAAATAGCCTTAACTTCTTTACTTTAATTCCATTCTACTCAAAAATCCTAATCAAACAATTTTTTTTTTATTTTGATCAACCCTTTTAAAATAAGTTGTCAGCTGACTAAAACATGATAATGAAACAAACATAATTTTTTTAATGCTGAATAACTTCTTTATTTCAAGTGCTATCCACTAACCCCATGAATCCACTGGTTCAACTTAAAAAAATACAGTAACAATTTTACGTGTGTCTTTTTAAGTAGACTTAATTTTATTTTATTTTATTTAACGTTATTAATTTAGTTAAACCAACATGATTTGCTTTGACCTGAAAAGCTTAATTAAGTTGAGCCAACATAATATTTATCAAAAAGTTGTGGTGACATTTAGTGGTCAAACTACTTTATTTGATATTCCAACTTAATTATTTTAATTTCATCTTAGTCAAAAATGTTTTTGATTTTGACCAACGTCTTAAAATAAGTTGTCAACTGACTAAAACACATTGATGTAACAAACGTAATTCTTTATGCTGAAAAACTTTATTGTAAGCATTTTCCACTGACCCCATGAATCATTTTTTAGAGTGTATTTTAACTTCACTACAATTTAGTGAGGAATTCCACACATTTATCAGACAACTAGTTATTTTATAAGTTAAGATTTAATGTGATAAAATATAAACAATCATCTTCTAAAATATAATTTTAAATGTAAACTGCCCATCAGTTTATGAAATAGGTAAAACTAGCTCCATCTCAACAAAACACAGAAAGTAAGATGCTACCTACACATTACTTTATCTGTAATAATTCACAATATAAGAT